AAAAAAAAAAAAAAAAAAAAGACTCAGAAGTGACAGATGAGGGGACCCGCAGACAAGGATGCTGAGTAGTTAGGAACCTGTGCCACATGTGAGGAAGAGAAACCTGGGCATAGGAACTGGAAAACACGTTCCTCCTGTGAGGAAAGAGCTGTCAGGCTGAGAAAGTGCAAGTTCTGAATTGGAAGGAGCGGATCTGAAAATGCTCTGATTCCAACCTCATGACCCTAGAAAAGGCAAAGTGTGGCGACAATGAAGATATCCGAGGTCCCCAGGGGTGCAGATGGGGCATGAATCGGTGGAGCCCCGAGGATTCTAGGCGGCACCCGTTCTCTGTCCGGCGCTGACACTGTGGGTACAGGTCAGTACACGTGGTGGGAACCCGTTCAGTGCAAACCACCAGGAGTGAGCCTGGGGGAACCGTGGGCCCCGGGCCATGACAGTGTGTCTGTGCAGGGTCATCGAGTGCAGCGCTGCACTGGATTCCGGGCAGTGGGGGGAGGGGCCGGGGCTGCGTGGCGACTGTGGCTTCAGGTTCGTTCTGCTGAGGATGAAGACCTGCTGTAAAATAACATGGACGCTGGGCGTGGTGGTGCCTATCTGTAGCCCTAGCACTCGGGAGGCTGAGGGAGGGGCATTCACAAGTTTGAGCCCGGCCTGGGAAACTTAGGAACTTAGCAGGATCTGTCTTAAAATATGAACTAAAAAAGAAAAAAAGGAAAAGAAAAGAAAAAAAAGGGGGGCTGGGAATGTAGCGCAGTGCAAAAGCTCTGGGTTCAATCTCCAGTACACACACACACACACACACACACACACACACACAATTTTTTTTTAAACCATGTGTCAGAGATTCCAGTTCTCCCATCTGGTATTTTTTTAAACACTAGCAAATTTTATTAGTAGTATGAAAAGAAACTGGCTCTGCAGAGTGAGTTTGGGTCACGTAAAAGCAGGAAAACAAGTACACCCCCGGCATGAGGGTGGCCCTTACGCAAGAGAGAACACGGTGGCCAAAAACTCAGTGTGGACTGACCTGTTTCGTGTCACCCACTGCTCAGGCTGACGTCGGGTCTAGGCTGTCTCATCAAAAACCTGTTCGAGTTTTCACAAGCAGTCCACGTGCAGGGCTTTGGGAACTGTTCTGCTAGCTTCTAGGCTGGCTCTCCGGGCTGGCTCGCCAAATGCGTTACTAGGTTTTGAGGTGCTGGAGTCTCCTCGAGTGTTTTGTAGGTTCTTTTGATAAGGCAAGAGAGACTCCTTTTTCTGCTTTTAAGTCCATATTAGGAGAAGTCTCTTAAAGTTCACTTAAGCTGTCGTTCACCCCAGTCGTCTTGATTAGTTATCAGCTCAGCAGAGCAGAGTCATAAATGGGAGCAGAGCTAACAGGACACATTGGGAAGTGGGCTAAAAGTTAAACTGCAGCGGTCATTTGGAATTCAGCTGTCTGACCTTCTGGGAGAAGTAAACTTTGTGATAATTGTGTGACTTTCCTGTAAGAGTCCCAAAAATGAGGTAATGGTTACTATAGAAACCTAAACTGTACTTAAACTGAAGCTGAGACCCAGACTGGAGCAGAACTCTCTGGCTCCTGGTTAGAGACTGCCCGTCGCCTGGCTCCAATAAAGCGTCATTCGTTCCTACCTTTTCGGTTTTCTTGTGAGTACTTTTCTTGATGGACTCACTTGCCGTATCACTTTCATGAGAACTGGTCAAGATATGCACAAATGGTAGCAGTTTTATTACGGGTCGGGAAAGAGCCGAGTGTGGTGGCACACCTATAGCCCTAGCACTTGGGAAACTGAGGCAGGAGGATCACAGTGAGTTCAAGGCGAGCCTAAACTACATAATGAGACCTGTCTAAAAAAAAAAAAAAAAGAAAGAAAAGGAAAAGAAACAGGCTGTGAATTGTGTATCTAAGACATCCAAGCTGACTTTTTTTTTTTTTGTCTTTTTGAGACAGGGTCTTGCTATGCAGTTCAGGCTGGCCTGAGTTCACTTTGTAGCCCAGGCGAGGTCTCAGACTCACAACAGTCCTCCTGCCTCAGCCTCCCCAGTGCTGAGATTACGGGTATGTGCCATCACGTCCAGCTCCACACAATATTTTATTTATTTATTTATTTTGGTTTTTTTTCCGGTACCGGGAATCAAACTCATGACATTGTGCTTCCCAGGCAGGCGCTGAGCCACTGAGCTAAATCCCCAGCCTTCCACACAATATTTTAAATTAAAAAAAAACCACTAATTTTATTTTTATTTATTTAATTTTTTGGTGGTACCGGGAATTGAACTCATGACGTCGCACTTGCAAGGCAGGCGTGGTGCCACTGAGCTCTATCCCTGGCCCCAACTAATTTTAAAAGTTTGGGACTGTTTCTGTAGTTTATGTGCATGTATTAACTGGTCTCAT